TTTTTTCGGTGGACAACGTTAATGACATTGACTGTATGTGCTTAATTAGTATTTATAAATTATTAAAGTATTGTTAGATATTTACCATTTCCGGGGCTACTTAACGCTGTAAATAACCAGCTTTGGTGCATTTTTCTCCTCACTTTTCTATACCTTCTGTTCGTCAAGACGTCTTTCACGTATGAAAAATAATGGAGGATAAACCTGAAAAAAATAATATTCGGTCATATTGTCACTATTATGTGCGCTAAAGCTCTCGCTTTTCAAACATATCATTGAAAACAATTTCTTAAGCTTTAGAAAAGTGATTTTACTGACATTTTTGGATTCCTCTATATTCACGTATGTCAACCCTTACTTTTTCCGCAATCTCGTATTCCGTTTAAGATTAGATTATTATATCAATTAAGGAATTTGTTTATGAATCTAGTAAATTTTTTGTCACGCGTTACCTCATGTCCTTTAAGTCCTTCGCCAACATGCCTTTTTCAATTTCAATGTCATTTTTTAAAGATTCTTACCTTTTATTTTATTTTTAATTGTTGTTTCATTACTAAATGCATTTACATTTGTTATTTTTTAGTTGTTCCTTTCCTTTATTCAGATTGCATCCATATATTTATCTTATCTTACTCTTCTTATTTTTATATTATTATTTTATTTACTTTTCTATGAATTTTATATGAATATACATTATTCTTATATAGTTACAACGTATATATATATATATATATATATATATATATATCATATTTACTATTAGTATTTCACATATTTTCTTTTAATTTGTATCTCACTATGATAAGTATATTTCTCTCTACGAATAAGCAGTGTTTAAGCAGTATTTTTTATCTCCCCCCTTCATTTAGATCCTTTTGCAAAAGTCTCTCTCCTCGTTTCCGGTCGTCAAGTCAAGAAGACTAGAACCTCGATAGTACGTAAAACCTTACAGCCAGTCTACAACGAAGCCTTTGTCTTCGACATCCCCGTTCACCGGCTTAGTGACGTCAGCCTCTTAGTGCGTGTGCTTCATTCCGAGGCCCAGGGGGAGAAAGACAAGGATGGTAAGACAATAGGCAAAGCTGTCATAGGTCCTGATGCTAAAAATAGTATTGGTCTTCACCATTGGAACTGTATGATGACATCTCCTAGGAAACCAATTGCCCAATGGCATCCACTTATGCTAAGTTAAGGGAAATTAGGAATGGAATGTCTGTATTTCCAAAGGCAGTCAAGAATAGACCAAATGCAAAACTCGCACCGATGTGAGGCTGAAGTTGTGAACAAAGGGATCTGCGGTGATTCAAAGCAATCTGTCGTGATTTAAAGCAATCTGGCGTGATTTAAAAGTCACGAATCATGCCAGATCCCTTTGTTCACAACTCAAGCCTCACATCGGTGCGAGTTTTGCATTTGGTCTATGGTCCAAAAATTGTCTTGTTTCAAAATTAGGAATTTCGAGCGAGATGGCGCATCAAATTTGTCGACGCCATCTTTAAAAAATGTCAATTCGAAAATAATGTTTGTATTAACTTTTGAAAGATCTCTACGTTCGCAATGCTTTTCCATTTCAAACCACGTGTTCCTTGAGTGTTATTCATTTTTTTACTGGTAACACTATACTCAATGGGATGGATGGAACTATCTTTGTACGAGAATTACACGTGGTCTGAAATGGAAAAACATTACATCCAGAACTAGAGATGTATGCTCGTTTTCAAATTGTAGTTAGAGCAAAAATGAGTCCAAATTTCCAGTGAGAAAAAAAAGTCTGAATTTTATATTGATGGTTTTCACAGCCGCCATGTTGGATGAATGTAACAAAAGATTCGTCATTAGTCTCTTTTGTTATATCATCCAACATGGCCGCCGTGACTTTTGTTATTTTATTCTCTTGGGAATGATTGAAAATCAGCAATTTTCTGTTATTTTCATACTTAGGATTATTTTGGTAATTTTGATTAAAATAAGGAAAAGCGTTATTTCGAAATTCCTTGTGTCGCAACCTTTAATTTTTCAAAATTTAATTGGACGTTATTCTATTTTATGTTCCTTGTCATGTGAGAAGTTGCTTTATGCAAATTATCCAGGATAGATGTTCACTAAGTTACGTTACATGAATCGTGGGAAATTTGCAGCAAAAAGCAATCACATTGGCGGGATAACAAATACTGTCGCGATTCAAAGGAGTTAGAATAATAAATATAATAATTATAATAAATAATAGTAATAAATTAAGGGAATAAGGTATCTAACTCTGTTTGATAATATTAATACTGGGCTGCTTGTGTTATCATCTAAAGTCACGTCATCATTCATCTGTTACAAATAATATAATAATAATAATTACAGTTCATATAAATCAACAACATGCATCAACATTTTCATCATATCCATACACCTATTTCAAAAAAAGTTGTTGGTTGGAGATCTGATATCTGAGACCATGTAGCACGCTGCAGATGTGATATATTCACAGCCAAACATTTAGTTTCCTTTTACATCGGAATGTGAAGCTTGTCCTTTGAGTTAGGAATATGATTTTTCGTATTTTAGTCAGAAAACACTAAATCACAATAATTCTGTTTAGTCTCAGATCGCTCATTTCATATCTCGGACAGACAACGTGTTTTAAAATAGGTGTACATACAGCTAGTTCTACAAAGGTTGATGAAGGTTTTGTGAGTTGCATGCTGCGTATTGCATGTCGCATGTTGCATGTTCCTTACCAAGCTTGAAATGTATTATATTAAAAAAGTGCAGACAAATCATAGGAAAAAATTTCCTACTGTTCTGATCACAGTTTCGCTGATTGCATTCACATTACCCATAGTGCATTTCGGGATGGGTATGCACCAAACCTCACTAACCTTTATTGAAGTCGCTGTATATATTATACTGAACATATATTTTAAGATACAACATATTTTTGTATTTTCGCTCAGAATGTTTAAAATTTGCACTTATTAGTGTAGAAACAATCTTTTTTTATTTTAACGATAAATAAATGGAATAAAGTAAAAAAATTGGGTACATATTCCTGTTTGTTTCAGTATATGTCTAAAAAAATTATTTAAATACTCAGAAGGGAGTAAAGAGTAACGGAGGCTCACGTGTTAATTAACAGTTTTCTTTCTTATTCCTTTATTTTCTATTTTTTGATTTTTCCTCCCCTACTATTTATATTTATATGACATTTGAAAGTTTTTGATGATGCAGGCTCATTAGTTTGGCTTCATTCAAGTTAGTTATCAGTTCATTGATACCATTAAAGGTCCATGGAGTTTCAATATGTAGATATTTATCAAGTTGAACATTTGTTTCTTTACAATGCAGTTGATTTGCGAATGATCAGCCTCTCAGTAAACCTGTAGAAATGAGTCTGTAGTCAAGGATGACAGTGGTATTACCCTAATGAGAAAAGATTTGAAATCTAAAAAAGTGATATTGAGAGATTTCTAAGTTTGCAACAACTGCATGGCGTGATAAAGTGTTTACACGAAACCAGAAAACGAGCTGACTTATACCATACTTCAAACCCTCGTGGTTTTAGTTTCGAACGTTTTAGGGATTTTCTATGAAAGAATACACGCAAAACCTGTATACGCTTATTTCAATAAAGTGAGTCACCTGAAAAGCTATAAATCTGAGGCCGACAAGGATTATGGGTAGATTCATTTTACACGTTCAACCGCTTGATAACTGTTCATGGACTTGTGAATCTTTTAGCGGTTACAGTCTCACCTCTTCTGAGCATCATCGAGCTGCAGTTTGTATTAAAAAAGCTTTGTATATATATGCTTTTTTGATATGAAAAGTTTCCCATGATGCTCAGTGATCTCAGCTTTCTAGGTTTTTGGTGACTAACTTTATTGAAATAAGTGTATAYACTGAACCCAAACAAAGACTGAATTCCATTCGCATTTCTTCGAGTATCTTGTTCTCGTACAATCAGCCATGGGATTCGTTAGTGATCAGGCTTCGTTTTCACCCGAGGTAAAAAGGGAAAGCCGTGTATTTGATCAACAAAACTCAAGTTGTAACGCATCTTACGTCAAATGATGTAATTTGTTTTATTTAAACTTAAAAGGATCAAGTCCTACGATAGACAATACCTCAACAATGAGGGTTACATCATCATTTGCTAAAGTAATTTAGTTACTTATAAAGATATAAWAAAATTTAGTTGCAGAAAAAGAATGCAGTAAAAAGAATATAATTCGAAGAATGAATTATTTCAAAAATATTTTAAAATACTTTTTTCTTAATATATAAAAAATTGATTTAATAAAATCATTTAACTGTAACCAGTGAACGCTTGAGTTAACTCAATGTAAAGAAGAAAACCATTAAAGCCCTTATATTATTGTAAATGCAAATTCAAATTCCGATGCAACAGAACTTACTTAAGTTGTTATTTATAGAGCTATAGTACGTCGACTTCTTCAACACTCTGTTTTATATGAAAAAGACTCGCTCGGATTTTTAACAGCTTATCTAATTATCTCGTAAGAAATACCGATAACAATTAAAAGAAGCTTCGACTAAATACCGATAACAGCGTGGCGGAGTTCGTAGCCCAAGAAGAGAAACTAAGAGACAGAAAGATTCGCGATCTTAAAAGTTAATTTATTCTGCCGGAGTACATCAATAATGAAAGCTAAAAGACTTCTTAAGAAAGTTGTTTTTCTGTTTCTTGTTATGTTAGCAGTAACAGGACATACAGAAGCGGTAAGTATAAGTGTATAGTGTAGGAAGAATAGACAGATATCTATCAATTCGTGAATTCATGTTCCGGCACGTAGTTATCCAAACTATCACCAAAAAGCATTACCCTTTTTGCAATATGCTCATATGTCCTTAAAAAGTTTGGTAAAGGTTTTTGCATGGTGTCCAAATTCAGCTTAGACTCTCTCGGTAATCTTACTGATCAAAGTATATTTTAATGAAAAGCAAAACTAGACTTAGCTGAATAATTAAGTAACAGTTGATGCATGTAAAGACGCTAGCTTTCATAGCTTTAGTCTCGAGATGTGAACTCACTCTGGGAAATTTATATCTATCAAAAAATCCCTGAACACTTTGAACAAGATTGGCCCTCTTCAGCTACAATTGTTTTATGAATGCACTGCATCTATTAATTACAAATTTTATTTTTTAAACCTTGTTTAACTGAAAACCATCGAAAAGGTTTTAAAGATTGTACCTAAAGATCAGCCTAGATACGACTGGGGCCAGAGACTGAAAAATTCCATCGGTCTTGATAAATAAATTAGAGATAAATTGTTCAGAGGCTTGGCGAATTTGACGGGACGTAGAGGGATAGGGGAATCAATCCGCTAAGCCTATAGCACTACCTCGTCAGTTTATAAGCACGATTAATCTTTTAGATAAGTCATAGTAATCTTTATTATTTTTCCCAATGCCATTCTATCGTTTGTAGAGACGTTCAAAGAGAAGCGTTGACCAGCTAACTACAATGATAGCCTGTGCAACAAAGAATAAGTGGATGCACTACATGAGCTATGGCTGTTACTGTGGACCGGGGGGACAGGGGGAACCAGTAGATGAAGTTGACAGGTTTGTACAGGGAATAACTACCAAGCAATGACCAAATAAAAAGGAGGAAGGGGGGGGGGGTGAAATTTGACAAAAGTTTGGCGATTTTAAATTCTGTTTTCATCCAACCCAGATGCTGTCAGAGACATGATCGGTGTTACCAACAAGTTATGTATAGCATGAAATGCTGGTTATCTCTTGAAGTCTACTTCCTGTCCTATGATGTCACCAGATGTAACTACTGCAGTAAGAAACTTTTGATTTTAGTACAGCTGTTAATCTTATTATGCGATTGCACGTTACGACATCGCGGCCATGTTGGTGGTACTGTATCTGACAATAGATTTCTTATTTCTTACATCGTTGATACCGCCAACATGGTCGCCATGTCTTAGTCTCTTGACCATCAATAGACCCCTTGCAGTCCGTCGGAATGCAACTCAATTTGGAGGACAAAACAAAAGAAGTCCAATCTCATGAGAATTGGAAACTTATTGTTATGTCCTCCAAATTGAGCTGCATTCCGACGTACTACAAGGGGTCTATTTCAGATATTTAAATACTCTTTTACATATTTCTTTTTATAGTAACGATTACCAAATCCACAACCTTGTATTTCTTTCTTTCTTTYACTTCCTCTCCCACAGTTTTTTCCTTCCTCTTTATCCATTTTACTTCCGGTTTCCTACGTTATTTCGTCTTCAGTTTGTTCCCATTCTTCCCCCACCCCCCCCTCTTTTCGTTCTCTTGTCTATTCTTTCTTCCCTTCCTCTACTTGCATTACGTTGCTCTTCCTACTCCCAATTTCTAACACTACGCTGATGGTACTTTTTTAGAGCCTTCAAACAGTCCATGTGCCTTGGAAATCTGCAAATGTGACTCGACGTTGTCAAAGTGTTTAAAGAGCAAACCACTTCAAAAACGCTACGAACTCTACGATCAGACAAAATGTTCCCCGAACCTCATATAAGAGCCTGATATATAACACATCATTCGGCTGTGTACACTGGAAAGATCGCTATATTGGACATCATCAAAACATGTCATTTTGCCTGCTTAGCATTTGCTCTCGATTTTTGTGCAGAAAATATGATTAGATCCACAGGTATATTTTAGCAGAGAAAAATATATTAATAAATTGATACTAAAATATTGAAATGGACTTCTTTGTTTTACGAGGGTATCATTTGACATATGACGCATAAAGCACGCGCGCGTTTTGCGCCAAACGAAACTTCCCGCCAAAACCACAGGAACTCTGCTCCATATCAATAGCCACAGAAATTTTTTTTTTTTTTTTTTTTTGCATGGTTTGCAATTATTCCTAAGAGAACCAAAAAAAACGAAAAAGACGGCATTTTTGGTTAATATAACAAAAGAGACTAATGATTCATAATGACCGAGATCTTTTGTTACATTCAATCATCCAATATATATCGGCTATGAATGAGTTTGAAAACAAGCAATAAAATAAAAAATATAATTATACAGCTTCTCATTAATCCCATATAGGTAACTGTCCAATTATTTTCTTAATTGGACAGGTCTTGTTGATATGGGATTAATTAGGCAGCTATATAATTAATAGGTAATGGGATTTCATGCTCCCCAATCAAGAAATAATTAGACTCAAAAATTCCTCTGACTGCCAAATTGGACTCGGCCTACAGCCTCATCCAATTTTGTCAGTCCTTGGAATTTTCCTCGTCCAATTATTTCTTAATTGGACATATACTAATATCTCAAATAACTTCTCTTTTTAAAAATAATGCATGATGTAGAACATAAACTTGAAATAAGAATTTTATCTCTGCATTATAATATACCTCTGGTCCTCGTTGCGGGATTGGATTAAATTGAATATTCTTGAAATATTTCCAAGTACACTTCTTCAGTGCAATGAAGCAAAGCAAAGAAAGTCTTTAATCTATAGCCAGGTCTATGGCAGCTCTAAAACTCTTAAAATTTGCAGAATGTGAGCTCAAACGCAGCTAGGGAATACTACATGACATAATAAGTTTTACAGCAAGCCATACAAAGGATCGGACTCGGCTGGTAATTTATACGTCCTGTAAAATCGTAATCCTCATCTCACATGGATTGAAAATTAATTTAAAACCACTTACTTACCTCGTAGCTTGAGATGGCGAGGGGACTACAAAGAAAGGTTTTAAAAGCTGGAAACTGTGCAGCTTTAGAAGTTGTTTCTCTTAGTTCGGTGTTGTTTTCAACCTATCTATACTTACGAAGAGGACCGCTGATAGAGGCCTTATTTTACCCAGGATTCACTGCGGCACGCCTTTTTGTATAAGTTTTTCATAAGAATACAATAATAATGAATACAGGTATTTTTTGGTTATTTTTATTGCATTAGATTCGTTGCCTTGGGTTTTCTCAACTGGTTATGATATCTTGACAACATTCAAAATAAGTGATGCTTTAGTCCCTTGAGTAAACTTTCTTGGCTTAGTCCGGAAATACAATAATATTGAAACGCAAGCAAAGAATTTATATTCTCAGAAGAATGACACATGGGCTTATCAATTGGGTTTACAGCCATGCATGATGTCTTACTAGGAACTAACACTTTTTGGACTTGTCGTAACTCATATATTTGTAGTTAAACTTCGATCGCTTAAAGCATTTCACAGCCTCTGCATCGCATTCGCACAAAGCTTTACGACATTTGGCCAAAATATGGTAGGAAGAAAGAGGCTCTGAAATAAAGGAAAATATATTAGTGAAAAAAAGGCGGGAATAGTAAATCAGAATATATAAAAATGTAAATATGGGTTAGAGTAAGGCTGAAACAAAATGCTGTGTAGAGAACGGGAAAGAGGGCCGGAAAGAGTGAAAACAGAAAGCATGCTGGGGTATGGGGAGAGGTTTAGAGGATCAGGGAAGGACTTGTATACAACAACATCACTTGAATTTCTTTGGCTGTAAATCACTTACAGCCTTAAATCAAAACGTTTAAATTACTTTGATCATCTGGCATCTTTTCCAGATAGATAGTTTGCTGCTAAAAGTTAAAATGAAATTGGGCTGATTAAGCCATTGTTTGGTGGAGCTCTTATAGTCCCCTTGTAGTCTACTATCTTTCTTGTTGGATTCCACACAGAGGGCCTTCTAAGAGGGTGAGTGAAAAATCCAAATTCCCCCTCTTTTGCACCTTAATTTCACATGTCCAAAATAGAAGCACTATCTTATACGGTTAATGAAATATTTACTTATGATGAAAATAATAAAATAATAAGATATTGAATGGAAAAATGACGAGAAAGCAATAACTGTTTTTTCGAACTTACTACATGTTAGACAGCCACTAGTTTTGTAACTCAAGGTGTATACGGCGGCATCAATTACGCAGAGTTTTGATAACTTCAGTTGATCATAACACCTATCATGTGCTTGGCAGCACCTAAAAGAAGAAATTACAGTTACCCTAATAACCGACCCCTTGAGAATAGATGAATTTTACAATTTTACAAATACACTTACCGGTCGCCTCTTGTAACCGACCTACAAGGGCGGATCCGGGGGGGGCAAAAAAAGGCAGGAAAAAAATGCTTTTTTATATTGTTTTCCGTTGTGTTGACGGAAGAAACTCAATAAGCCCCCCCCCCCTAAACTCAATTATCTCCCCCCCCCTCCTAAAATTTTGGCTGGATCCGCCCTTGATCTACTTGCTACTAGGTAGACATTACATAGTAAAAGACTCCTAATCGCTACCTACAATCTTATAACCAAACACCTAGAACTAGTTCAGACGTCGAACGTTTGCCGTGATGAATTCAGTGTATGAAATGAAATAAGATGATATCGAGTAGAAACAAAAGATTTGACTAGTTTGCCCTAGATTCGAGGCGGCAAAAGTTCGACGTCTTAACTGGACCTTATTACTATAGGTGGACTTCGATTGTACGTTACGTCATCGCGGCAATGTTGGTGCCATTTAACAAAAGATTTCAGTCTCGTTAGCATCCCTTGTTAACGGTACCGAGATGGCCGCCATGCTTTTGTTTTTTACTCTCTTAGGAATGCTTGCAACTGCTATAGTACCATGGTGGAATTAATGTAGTAAAGAACAATTACTTATTTATTTTCACCTYTCATATACTCTAACTACCAAGGGGACGACCTGATCTTCGTGTAAAGATTTACGTTCAGGGCGGATCAAGAAATTTCCGGATACGTGTGGACAGTAAAAACGATTCGAGAACAATTCGAATACGCTGCGTGTAGACGCGAACATTTTCGTATCCAGAAAAAAAAAAAAAATTGCGGATACGAAAATTTCCGGATACGTGTGGGCGGGGCCTTAACTTAACCTTTTTTGTGAAATCAGTCATGTTAGTTTTAGTATTAGCATATATAGGTGTGATAGATACCTGTCCACGTCATCTACAGGTGTTCCTTTGCCACCAAACCCACAGAAGCACCCATAGCCGTTATACAGCAGAGGATTACGTCCTGTTCCACAGTGAATCATCGCTCCAAAGTTAGCGATGCTTCGCTTGGCTCGTGACAATTGGACTTCACTTCCCTTGATCAAAAATACTTGTCATTATTGACGAAATTAAAATAAAATAGCATAAATAAACCAAAAGGGTAATTTTATCGAACCCTGAAACAACCTCTGGGCTGATCTAAGTCAGGGTAAGGCTAACTCACAGATCAAACCCTGAAACAACCTCTGGACTGATCTAAGTCAGGGCAAGGCTAACTCACAGATTGAACCCTGAAACAACCTCTGGG